TTTTTCTTTTAAATGTAAAAAGAGCAGTCAACTGACAGCCACTCCAGGTGCCCCAAGGCGCCGAGCTGGCCGAGCGGCCACGTTCTGTCCTCGAGCTGGTTGTTGTCCAGAAACAGCCACTGGAGGCGCTGGAGGTCCTGGAGTTCCCCTGGACTAGAGTCCCAGCGGCGTAGCATGTTGTTCATCAGCAGCCTGGGTTGAGAGGGCAGGATCAGTACACATCTGTGGGCACCAACCGTGGGCCATGATCAATTCATTCATTCATGTTCAATACAGTTTTTGGAGATATTTCTTCCCCGTGAAGGTTCCAGCAGGGATGTGAGTGATGCTGTTACCCCCGAGGTGCCTGGAACAGTCAGACCGCAGGACGGGATCTGTAAATACGGCCCTAGGCTAGATCCAAGGTGGGCTAGATCTGAGCCCATCAACAACACTCGTGTCAAGCTGGTCCTTACAGTAGGGCGAGGGATGGGTAGTCGGAGAATGACGAACTGTCCACCTTCTTGATGAAATTGTTCAGAAGAACCCTGTAAAAGTAATTACGAAAAATGATTTAAATGTAAAGGATGGTCCACAGACTTCTTCCTTTATTTTGCTTCTACTGTACCGGATGGAGGCGTGTGGCCCGGTTGCATATTCGGCGCCACGGTGAGAGACGGTAGGCAAGCCCGCCCGCACGCCTGCGCCTGCATGCGGTACAGTAATAAGCAAAATGAAAGAAGGGGTCTGTGGACCACTCTGTGTTTAAAATCTCATTAATAATTTCAATATTTGTCTCGGCACAAGGCCTGTCCCAGCTTGGTCCCGGAAATTCGGCGGTTTGAATTCGTTTTCTTTAATCCAGTTCGCCCGTTGACGGGCCCCTCGCTGGTGCAACCCCTCTTTCCTCACAGTTTGGAGACTCCTCCGCGGATGCTCGCCGGCGGTTCGACCAGGCCCGCCCCGCGGCAGTTCAGCTTGGTGTCTTCGCAGCGGCAGCTTACCGGAAAGTTCGTAAGTGCTGGCACGGGAAGAACATCTAATATTACTGAACCGATACAAGGTGGTCCACAGACCCCTCCCATCATTTTGCTTATATACTGCACCGCATGCAGGCGTGCGAGCGGGCTTGCCTACCGTAGCTCGCAGTAGCGCCTAATGGCTCCGTGTGCGTATGCAACCCGGCTGCACGCCTGCATCCGGTACAGTATGAGCAAAATAAAGGAGGGGGTCCGTCGACCACCCTGTACAAGAATACCACATCTACATATTTTCTGCATCCCCCGAACTGCTCACCACATTTTCTCAGCGTCGGTGTCGTCCTCGTCTTGGAGGGAGGCAGGGCGTCCAGCACCGTGTGGAGAACGCCGTCACTGCCCGCCCAATCAGCTGTGCACTCCCACAGGCTAATTAAATCGGAGCTTAGAAAATAAATATTCTTCTTAGTTTCCAGAGGGAATGAAGACTTACCGCAACCCACGCTGTCCTCGTCCTCGCCGCTGGGGCAATCCCGGTGGCCGTTGCACCAGGACCTCTGAGGGATGCAGGTCGGCGCCGAGGAGCACGGCATGGCCCCTCGGCCGCAAGGGCCCGGCTGCGACAAGTGTAGTCCGATGAGCAGCAGGGTGCCGGCCAGGATCAGCGCGCCCAGGGTGACGGCCGCGACGTGCAGCCAGCGCATGCTCCGGCCACTAAGGAACACGTGCGAGAGCACCGCGACTTTTCTCTTAAGGGTCTCCCCCCCGGACGAAAATACTTAATCTACCCCTCTTACATGCCCTTTAATAGGTCTGTGGTGCGGATGTGACGCGTGTGCGACTGCTTCAACTCTATGGCCTGTCGGTGCCGTCAGCAGCGGTGTAACCGTCGCTGATCGGGGAGCAGACC